AGCCCCTACAAAGTTCACATAAAATAACTATATTGTACAAAATTAAATAAAATGCTAAGAACAAGGAGCAACAGAAAAGCTCTAACCTCTGCCACAAAGTTTGAAGAAAGAGGGAGAGGTTGGGTGTGACTGACTTTTTATAGTTTAAATATATAGATGTCAAGTTTCCCCTCAGGGAGGAACAACCCACTTCCGTCAGGTAGAACAAATACAAACTACATAACTGTTAACCTCTGTTACATTCACTCATTCACTTCATTGCTTTGTTCTCCTTCTGCTGTAACCAGGAATCTGCCTCGGGCCATCTACATCTCCATCCCCCTGGTCACCCTGGTTTACACTTTAACCAACATTGCCTACTTCTCCTCCATGAGTCCAGAGGAGCTGCTGGCCTCCAATGCCGTGGCAGTGGTGAGAAGCTGCATGTTTCACCTGCACTCAGTTTACATCGCAGTGTGACACATACCATAAGCACTCAGATGGTTTAGTTTACACATCCTGGAGGGAACTGTGTGAAACATTCACCCGAGATCTGTTGGTAGTTCATCTCATTTAGCTGCAAATAAAAGTCATGCTAAAAACACGTTTGTTGTTTCAGACCTTCGGTGAAAAGCTGCTAGGATGGTTTTCCTGGGTGATGCCGATCTCAGTGGCACTGTCCACCTTTGGAGGAATCAACGGATATCTGTTCACTTCCTCCAGGTGGGACAACACGAGACGCTGCCTTTATAACTCATTTCCCTTTATCTCATGTCTGTGACTGATGTCAGTCGATATAGCGAAAACACAGGAAGTGACCACAAGTCCAGAAACCAGAGTCCAGTTTCCTCTGCTCTACATCAAACAACAGCCATGTTGGTAGTCACATGTTTGAAACTGTGCTTCTGTCGGCAGGCTGTGTTTCTCGGGGGCCAGAGAGGGTCACCTGCCCTACCTGCTGGCCATGATCCATCTGAAAAGGAGGTTCTCAGTCATCCAGGTCCTTTTTTTGGAGATAGCATCTGGACAGTTTTAGTTTCTTAAAGATGTTTCACCTTTCTTCAGTTCTTACTGAGAGCTGGAAAAACTGTTATTTATTATGACCTCTGAGTGACCACGCCCACGGTCTAAGCCACTGTGAGGTTAAATACCAGATTTTTTTTCCAGCAGTCGTATAGAACTGAAGAGTCTTCAGGATGAGAAGTTAAAGTTTGTCCAGAAGTTTCCTCTGCTCTACATCAAACAACAGCCATGTTTGTTGTCACATGTTTGAAACTGTGCTTCTGTCGGCAGGCTGTGTTTCTCGGGGGCCAGAGAGGGTCACCTGCCCTACCTGCTGGCCATGATCCATCTGAAAAACTGCACTCCAATACCTGCCCTGCTGGTCTGTGTGAGTACTGCAGTACTTGTGTCACGTCAGCTTGCATCTTATGTTTTCCATCAGCAGCGTTGTAAAGACTGTAGGCTCATTAGCCTTGATCTCAACAGGTATGGTCAACAGTCATGTATTTTTAATGGTGACATTTTTGTCTGCTTTGAAATCAGTTTGGAAGGGGGTTTAATTTTTTTTATTATAATCAGCCATTATCACACACTAAAATTGTAAAATTGTTTTAAAATAACATCTTCAATTTGTTTATTTGCTTTAACAGTAGGCCAAAACGTTCGAAGGTCCAAGTGCAATAATAGTGCCCTCTGCTGGAGGCCAGGGGAAGGTCCCAAAAACAAATTAACTTTTTTTTATTTTTAGATATATATTTGATCCCTGTGTGTTGTGTCCCACAGTGCACTGCCACAATCATCATCCTTTGTATCGGAGAAACACACAACCTTATCAACTACGTGTCTTTCATCAACTACCTGTCCTATGGAGTGACCATTGCCGGTCTGATGTATCTACGCAAGAAGAAGCCCAACCTTGTCAGACCCATCAAGGTAAAGTTTAAATCAATCTAAAAGGGGATTTTCAAAATTGTCTCACAGGGACAAAGATGTTTAAAGTCATCCTTCCTGGACGTTTCCTAAAATAAATGTCATTGTTGCTGTGCTTTAAAATACTAAATGACGAGCCAATAGTTCTATTAAATAAAACCTAGTCTACTTGTTTTTACGTACGTCTACCAGCAACATATCATATGAATATTTTTCCATTTAACCCATTTATGATCATGGATGGAAGTTATTTAAATTTTAGGGATATGGCGCCCCCTTAAAAAAAGCCTTAGTTTGCCTCAATAAACATATAAAATAAAATAAAAAAACATGATGTTTTATGTGTGTTCTTATCAAATTAATTAATTAATTAATTAATTAATTGTAATTTTTTTTGTTGCAGATAAGCATGTTGATCCCCATCGCCTACATGATCTTCTGGGCCGTGCTGCTGTGCTTCAGTCTCTACTCTGAACCCGTGGTTTGCGGCCTTGGCATGGTCATCATGCTGACGGGCGTCCCCGTGTATTTTGTGGGCGTGTACTGGAAGAACAAACCCAGGGCGCTCTACAGGCTGGTCGGTGAGTGGCTCTGTGACGGTGCAGCAGCACATTTTGTACGATCAACTACTCCACCCTGACAGGACGACCGTCTTCTGTTCTCTTCTGTCTTTCAGAAAAAGTTACGTACATTGGCCAGAAGATATTTTACGTGGTGTTTCCTCAGGAAGACACTTCAGAGACTGAATCCCTCACAGCCTCCAAAACTGCTGACTGAGCAGCGCGCTCAACTCAAACCCTGTTACAGCAGCAACTGTACATTCTCTTACTGTTACGGTTTTTTTTTTCTGTCTGTTTGTAAATGGTGAAGAAATGGCAACAAATGGCACAGATGCAGCCTAAACTGAGCTCCCTCTGTAAATGAGCTCAATCTTTATATTTACCACTACTGCCCATATATTCTCCACACAGTTACTGTTCTCTCCCAGTCAGAGTTCTTCGTCATCTTCATCATCGTCATCATCTCCTGTTACTTACTCCAGGAGCTTCAACCCCTTCACGCATTTTACCTTTATAACAGTTTTGATTCTGTTACGTTAACTCTACATTTGGTCCAACGTGCCTTATGAAGTATGTGCTTGGATACAATAAGAGCAAACATTAATGAGTCAAATATTTTACAGTACTGCAGTACTTGGACTGTACAGTACTTCAATATAACTGCCTTTGACTCTACCTTCTCTGTAATAACTCAACAGCAGTAGTTACTGTTTGTATTACTGCCCTGGTACTGGAGCTTTTTTTTTTTTTACACTATCGTCACTGCCCTTCTGTGAGTGACTCTCAAGGTGCCTGCAGTGTGTAATCACTCCTGTTACTATTGTTACCTGCCATCTGCCAAGGAACTTGTATCTTTCTCTCTTGTTTTACGATCTGTTTATCCGTCGATATAACGCATTTCTGCGGCAGAAATCACTTGTTGAATTTGCGATTTAATGGAAAACTGGTGCAAACATTTGTGCCGGTTGCGTGCTAATTATGTT